GGTGTGCTGCTTGGAAGTTGGGGCGTAGTAATCGTCTAAAAGATAACGCAGTATGTTTCTTTTTTTTTTTTGGAAGTGTTATGTGTTCTGTCGTCTGCTCTCAAGCGCGTTCTCGCTGGACTGAATCATCGGTCTTCCTCGCGCAGATTCCGTCTGCGACGCAGGTGACTTCTACAGTCACTATACAGAGCTGTGACTCTAGCGTGCAGTGACTTCCAAGCATGCTTTGCCATCCGTGATCCCTCAGTTTTAGCAGACCGTTTCTGCACCTTCGATACGATACTTCAGCGCTGCGATCGGCCATGAAGTAGTTATGCCTGGGCGCGTATCGGGCCGGCTGGAACCGCGGCTACTGTTCTCGCACCGACTACAAAATTTTGATTCCGGTGTCGTAGCGGGACTCAACAGGTTTTAATCACGACTGAAAGTAAACATCTTGCTGTCCTTTAGCTGCGGCAAGTATATTTGAGATTGCTAAAATTCGTGATAGAAAGAAATGAAAAAAATAAATAAATAAATAAAAACACGAGAAGTGCATTCTCGTTTTTTCTATTTATATTCCTAAAAAGTTGACGCAAAACACCTCATGCGTCCATGGCCTAGCGGATAAGAGGGCTGCCACTTTGGCCTACCTAGCGAGTGGATTTTCAATTAAAAATATTAAGACAACCAACCCGTCCTCGGTTTCGAAACCCAGGACGGGTTGGTTTCCCTCATATTTTTCCTTACGAAAGTTTTGCTAATAAACTGTGCGTTAAAAAAAGAAAAGAAAAAAAAAACAGGTTTCCAAACTAAACTTGTCCGACCAAACAAGTCCCCTAACAGAAAGGAGCAAAAAACAGGGCGCGCCATCTATCGGTCTTCTTTTCAACGAATTCCCGCGACGCCGGAGTAGCCACGCGTGTGCTGATCGCTCTAATCCCCACACCCGTTCTCGGCCCTTTCGCCTCCCTTAGCCTTGCCGCCGTGCCCGGCCTTCTCCCCTCTTTCGGCCTTGACACCCCTCCCGGCCCTTTCGCAGTCGCCGGCCTAGCCCCCGCACTCGGCAGTTCCGGCTCGCTTGGCCCTAATCCACGCTTGGCCCTTCCGCGAGGGCCGGCCGAACTGGTAGTGACCCGAGATGAGACGGGTGATGAGACAGGGTCACCGTTCTGCCACCTCCATGTCCTTGCGCACTATGCGAATAACTGCGCAGAAGGTCCATCCTTGTGATAGCGGTACCCTCTGCTGCGTTTAGTTTGTTTGCCACAAACGATTACGCCATTACTTCTTTAGAAAAAGCGGAGATCTGTGCCCGGCAGCCCTAAATTTGATGTCGAATTTGTGAAAGCTTCCTGGGCCTCGACATTCGCATACTTCTACCAAGATTTGTTGACTGCATTAGACTAACAACAAGCATTATCATCGTTCGATCGCGTTTCCACGGCACAAAGAAGCATTGCATGGCGAAAACTTCATACGGAAAACACTGCGTAACTTGTAAAAAAGAATAACTCAATTTAGAACAGAAGGTCACATGCTTTGTAGTTCGAAAAAGCACTCCTGAAGAGAATATGAACCTATGGAAGGATAATTTAACAAAATTTGTTTACATTTAAAAATAATGGGACTTCAAATAATATCAACAACTGTAAAAAAAGAAAAACGTTAATGCTAAAGCAATTTGCACCGTGAAAGTCGCATTATGAATTACATGACCACTTATTAGAGCAAGCCCTCCTCTCCCAAGTGACTGGGTAGCCGAGTAGATTAAAAGCAAAATAAAATAATCTTGGGCTACCCAAGATTGTTTTCTTTTGGTTTCCATATTTCCCGGACCGGAGTCGGTCCGGAAAATATGGTCACATCAACAATATAAAAAAAAAACAACGTTAACACACTAATTTATATATATATAAGGCGGCTAACACAAGAGAGGCAGTGGAAACCCGCTATTCGGCTACATGATCGCGGCAATTCTAATAACGTAATAGCTTTTTTCTAGAAGAGGCGACCTACAATTTCTACCTAACTACGTTTCCTCTTTGCTCGTGACTTTTAATGTACTGAATTGTCTTCTTTCCATCAAAGATGGTCGGCAGAGCGTCGGGTTCAGGCGAGCCTTCTTCAGACCCAAACCCATACGTACGTAGTTTTCATATGCGCCGTCCGAAGCCCGTTTCGAACAAAAACGGTGTACTTGCTCATCCCCACCCCTTTAAAATCTCGGGGTCGGAGTGGAAAAGACGGTAAGCGGGAAGAACAACTGCGAGGAGCGCTGTTCGTGAAAGCTGCCGGCTACACATGAGTACGGCATCGTGCAACAGCGCGAGTCAGTTGGTTCGGTGCAACAAGAATTCTGCAAATACGTGAACAAACAAGAGAACAATCAACACGTCAGGCAATTGAGTCAATAGGGAGTTTTCGTAGACCGCGCTGCCCCCTCCGCTAAGCGTTCCGCAGCGAAGAAGTTGCTACTGCGCCTGTGCGCCGATAGCCTTGACTGTGGAGTTCCCGCTATCGTAGCGGGTTGCGGAGGGCCTTCCGGGACGGCGAAAACAATCTACGAAAACTCCCTAATAGCATGACCGGTCAAGGAATAAAAGCAAGCGCTATGCAGCGGCAGAACGACGACGGCTCGGAAAGACACAGGAGCAGCCTACGAGGAAAGCGCGGCCAGTCGCGGCGGGGTCTCCCAGCCGGTCCTTTTGTGACGCCGGCTGACGGGCTTCCTCCTCTCTCCCCATTCCCTCTGGTTCGGAGAGGCGTGGCTTTGAAGGCGCTTTTCCGGTTAATCCGCGCAGAAAATGACCAAACGAATACGATATTCGTGATGGCTGAGGGCTCATTAACTAGGCTCAGGTGTTTTTTCTCATATTTAAAACCGCTTCAGCTTCCCTTTAATGCTGTCGGCCATGTTAAATTCGAATGAAAAATGTTCAAGCTCCAGATACTTATACTGTGTAGTTCCAGTAGCAAAGGAAGGAAGAGGCCCCAGCTATGACATTCCCTAAATTCCAAATGGGCTCCAAGGACCCCTTCCTTGGAGCGCATTTGGAAATCATCGAAGCTGAGATTATTGCACATCTAAAGGAAGATTGTGTAACTGCCCCATGGGGGGGGGGGGGGGGGGGGAGGGAACGGAGGGGAGGGTATGCCCCTCCTCCTCATCCGTATTCTCGTCGTCCCCTTCTCCTCCTCTCGTGCTCCTCCTCCTCTTTTGAGGTATTTCGATTTTGCGATATACCGTACTGAACTATGTAATATATTGTGGTATTTTTGCTCACCGCTTGTACGGAGAAAGGGAATATATTTGTCAGATCTGGAAGCTCCAATGTGATTTACGATTGATGAGACCGCTTGCTTGCACAACAGGTATCTGGCATCTCCTCTCCTCCTCCTCCTCAACGTCACCGTCCTCCTCCTCCTCTTCGTCTTGTACGGCTTGCACGCTCCAACTGATAACGAAGCTGGTAGATGCTCCTCCGAGTGGCCCGCCTAACACCTCTCAAGGTACGCAAGACCGTCGGAGGGAACAATTTCCCAGCTTTCGTTCTTCTCCTCCTCCTTTCCTCCTAGCGCGCACTCCATATCGTCGCCAAAGTTCGGCGTCCGAAATCCCCACAATATATACAAATATAGAGCAATCTCCTCCTATACTGGTGCTTTAAATAGCACTCTTATCCCAGTCCTTGATTGTTATGAAGGAAGCCTTGTGATCTGAGAAGTGACAGGATATGTCTTCCAGGTGATGGACCAAAGGCTGATTTTGAAAGACGAGGTCTATCCATGTGTTTCGAGGGGTCGTCACAGCGGTGTGAGCTGTAACGAGGGAGAGAAATGGGAGGTTTTCCTGCATAAGTGGTGTGAAGTTCTTATTCGTCTTTAAGTCTGCATTAAAGTCCCCCACTACTAACATGGGTGTGGACCCACATGTGTTTAACGCAAGTCGCAGAAAATGCACGATATCTTTGGTGACTGCTGTAGGCGAGATATACAGAGCCACCACTACCAAGCCGTTGTCGAACTTGGCGCCACAAAGTTCTCCAACTTCGTCTGACGTTCCAAATATCTCGATGGGTACGGCAGACAGACCCTTACGCACGTAGATGGCCACCCCTGCCGCTCTGTTGTGCTCTCTACTGACGCCGCAGCAGTACTGGTAGTCCATGATTTCTACCGCCTGTTTTGGATCCATCCACGTTTCCGAGAGGCAAAGCACAGATGCATGGCGTAGGATGGGGTCGTGGTGCACGTCCTTGGAATGCGCCGGCAGAGAGCGAACATTAAGTGCGGCGACCGAGAACGAGTGCGGTTGCTTAATCATTGCGTAGCACTTAGCAGTGACAGTTTGGAGTTTGTGTGACTGCAGCCGACGAAACTCATCAAGTAGTACCCTGTCGGGATTGGGCTTGCCGTGGTAGAACGTAAAGTCATTGTCCACATTGGTGAGGTAGAGCCCGTTGATGCCTGTAGCACGACTCAGTGCCACATATACCAATTTCTGTGGATGACTCTTGGGCCTTGGCATACTAGTACACCACGTTTTCATACGTGCCTCCCTGTGATTTGTGAATGGTGATAGCACTTACTTGCACAACGGGTAGCTGGCATCTCCTCAGGGATATCCTTGACTTCTTATCAATGACGCAAATGACTGTGCGTCTTTCGATAGGTGTCCAATTTCGCTGAATATTTCTGTCGAGTGCCCGTAACTGCCGGGATTTTGCGGCCGTCACGGTTCCAATCGCAATTTTGGAACCAAGCTCACCGAAATGCAGCCAGATGCGTTCCGGCTCTCGGAGTGTGTCGTATTGTATGTACTGCAGTATTCCAACAGAGCCATTGACCAGACCATCGAAAATATCGACATTGAGTGTGAGCATATATGGTTTTCCAATGCATAGCATTATATTAGCTGGCAGGTTTCCGAGTTCGGCCTTGGGCAGCGTTTCGGCCTTGCGCATTGCCTCTGTCTTCTCCTGCATAGACCTGAATCCAACGATTGTGTCCCGTGCCGGTCATGCCACACAATTATCTTCGGTTGCAATGGCCGTGTTCGTATTGTAGTAGTCCGATTCCTTGTTGGAGTAGTACAAGCGGATGCCACCGGGACAACACGTTTCTGCTTGTTGTTGCGTGACGAACCGACTCTGGATCAATGCGATTTCTTCGGAATCCAATTCTGCACCGTCTCCAATTTTGGTAAGTATGGTAGAAAACCTGAGATCGCTTTGCCTTACGACCTTCGTGAGGACAAAGTATGACAAATGGTGCCATGCGATTTCCGTGTTAAACACACTGTTCGTCTTGATGAGCTAGAAAACCTCGGCGGCACGAACGGGGGGAAGCTGGCGCAGGTCTCCGCAGAGGATGATGTCTAACCCGCCGAAAGGCTCTAGGTATTTGCAAGTGATGATGCGGAGTCGCGAGTCCACTTTCTGAAGGATGTCGGCGGACATCATGCTAACCTCATCAATAATCACGCACCTGACGTTCCTGAACGCATAGCGGAACGTGTTCAACTCGTTGTCCCGCAGTCCGCCATCCCTATTGATGGTAAGTCTGAACGCTGCATGTACAGTTATTCCACCAAGCGCGACCGCCGCTTTTCCAGTTGTAGCACAGGCAACATAGGCGTTTACATTATCTGAACCAGCAGGGTTGCAATATCTGTTGTAGACGTCCATGATGAGACGCAGCACAAATGTCTTCCCACATCCAGCTACTCCCGTGAAGAAGATTTGTAGTGGCGGAGAGTCCGGTATAGTGAGTCTATGCACGACTTCTCGGACGATCTCGTACTGCTCCTCATTCGTCTTCCGCATTGTGTCCAGGTACTGATCTCTGCTCATGACGTCTTGGCGCGTGCACACGGCGGGGCACTGCTTAAACGGGGCATTGGATTGGACCATACCGATGTCTGGGAGATCGGAGTCGTCGTTTTCCATGGCCATTGGGTGCAGTCTCACATCTGGGAGCTCAGAAGTGGCACAATGTTCCCCATCATTTGACTGGAGCATGGAATTACAAACGTCAATAATTTGCTCAACGTCTACGTCACTGTGGTACCGTGCCTTGTTCTGTAGAATGACGTCGATGTTTTGCTCATACAGACGCTCGAAACAGTTTTGGTCTAAGATGTCAACTTCTTTGCGGAATGGACAGAAAAGCAGGACATGTTCTCGCTTGAAGTTGACTGAATCGTCTACGGAGTAACCGCGGTAGCGAAGTATCCGTCGCTGATTCCTCTTTCTGTAGGTATATATGTTGTACTCGGTAGCGAACTCTGCTAGAGTAACAGGTCCCGATTCGGGAATGCGGTCTTCGTAGCGCTCGATCATCGTCCGTTTCCCTACATCAGTGCTTGATTCTACTAAGCCTTCCTGAGCCATCTGAGCGTTAGACTTCCGAATGCGCGTCCTCTCCTCGGGCCATGCAGAGTTCACGAAGACAACTTTGCGACTCGTCTCCGACATATCCTGGTTGAGCAAACACCATGCGGCCTCCTGTGCGGACAGTTCAATGGCATTCAACATTTTCGCACCTAGATGTCTCAGTGCCTGAGAATAGGCCATATCCCCCTTCTCCTTGACAATTTCTTGCACTGCTCGATTGAGGTTCGACATACCTCGGTTGGCCTTGTTTACATATTCCACCACGTAGGCAGCACACGCGTACGTGTCGAGGACGATCTGAAGATCCATGTTAGAATCGAGAATTGATGCAACCCATGGGTTAAAGTAATTCACCCACTTTTGCTGCACAGTACGGGGTAGCATGATGGTGGCACGAGGAGTGCCTGCTCGGAGAACAGAAATGTACTCCGCCTTGTCCGCGACACCGTGATGTTCCCAAAACTGCTCCATGGAGTCATAATTTGTCGTTTCCAGGGCCTGATTCATGGCCTCGTACTTGTTGAGGAGGTTCTCGATTTTCTTCTTCTGCGCTTCATTGTCCACAGTGGGGAAAGGCACTACGACCATACATTCATCGATGGGCATAAAAGGCGCGTTAAAGCGGCATCTGGTGGTGTTGTGCTTGTAGCAGGTATGCGTGTGTTGGTGCACCTGAGTCCGCTCGCGCTTCAAGCATCCGTTGTCGATGGAAAGAAGAACGCTGGCTATTTCAAGAGTCTGGGGCATGAGCATCGAGAGCTCCTCGTTGGGCGCGTTATGAAGCCAAAGGAGAATGTGCGCGTGTGCCGACCCGCGGTGCTGAAATTCGATCTGCTTAAAGTAGTCGACGACTATGTACGGCCTAAAAGGCGATACACGGGTGTTGCGGAGAATGTTGAGAATGACACGCACCAATCGGTCGAAATATATGGCACAGACCACGGGATCGTCATTTACTAGCTGAGCTCGATAAATGCTGTTCATTTGCTCCAGTGGTACTTCGATCTCGCCGGGCTTCAACCGAAGGCGTTGAAGCAACTGCAAAAGGTCGGGCCAGTGCATTTCCGAGGCAGAAAGAGTGAGGAACGCGATCGGCTTACCCAACTGCCGTATCATAGCAAAGAGGTCTTTCTTGCGTTTTGTCCAGTACTGCACGGTGTTGGGTATACCATGCATGAAAGCCATGTTGTGCTCGACCGCTTGCTGCACAAAATCCTTGTCGAGAAACTGTTGCATCGTTAGTGCTTCCAGTGCCTTTATGTTACGGAAGGCCACACACATGTCGCCGGCTACTCGGTGCCTAAACACTTTCATGGCCGTGTACAGTACGTGCTGCGGGGTGGCCCCTCGACGGTCTGACCTGCGGATCTCACTCATGGCGTGCGTGAAGACTGTAGGTTTCGCGCTGGCATCTTCTCGGCGCGGCTCACCGAGATAGATCTGTGGGAAAGAGAGCTCCTCTGCGTGTTCGTCGTAAAGGATGCTCACGGGCCTTTTTCCCTCACCTGGCGCAATCGCTAGAAACTTGTCTTCGTCCCATACGAGAGTGTGCTGAGCCAGAGTCATGGCTGTAGCCACTTGGATCGGATCGTTGAGGTCTGAGCATTGCGGGAGCAACTCGATCTCGTCGTGTTCGTCCACTTCTACGATATCCCCCAAACGGGCAAAATCGCACTTTATATTATAATGCTTGTATATTATAGTGCACAGCAGCTTAAGCCACGGCAGCAGATCACATTTTCTTACTGCCCCTGCCAGGTACGTCGTCTTCGCAAGCATACGCCGCTTCAAACGTACATTGAGGGCTCGGTCTTGTTCGATGGCACGAGGCAACATTGTCACCATGTCGTCCACATCAACACAGACGTTCACTACTGGTCCCTTAATGCCGTGTTGACCTCCACCGTGCATCAGCCGTCGCAGTTGCATGAAAGGAATTTGTGGAGATATGAGTCTCTCACTCACCGCGTTCAATTGTGGGAGGTTGGCTGGCTTTGGGGGATATACATAACCGTTACTTGAGGAAAGATGAGGAATATGACCCTTGCGCACTGATTGTATGCAGGTCGAGCACAGTTTGAATTGGGTTAGGTCCGAGTTTGGAAATGATTGCTCTAGGGTCTCGTGACATCTGTCCGGTAGCGGTTGCAAGTCGTTTTGGAACCAGAGCCGATCACAGACTGAACATACGCTCCCAAACGGGTGGTTGTCTCTAAATAGCCGTTGGAAAATTTTTGTTACACCGTCAGGCTTAGCGATCCTTGCCTTTTGCTTGGCTTCGGCTTCGGCGGCGCTCACTCCTGGCTGCTCTCGGCGGCGGCGATGAGCCTCTGCCTCGGCGTCGCGCACTTCCGGGTCCTCTCGACGGCGGCGCTTAGGTTCAGCTTCAGCAGCGCTCACTTCTGGCTGCTGTCGGCGGCGGCGATGAGCCTCTGCTTCGGCGTCGCGCACTTCCGGGTCCTCTCGACGGCGGCGCTTAGATTCAGCTTCAGCAGCGCTCACTTCTGGCTGCTCTCGGCGGCGGCGATGAGTCTCTGCTTCGGCGTCGCGCACTTCCGAATCCTCTCGACGGCGGCGCTTAGATTCAGCTTCAGCAGCGTTCACTTCTGGCTGCTCTCGGCTGCGGCGATATGCCTCTGCTTTGGCGTCGCGCACTTCCGGGTCCTCTCGACGGCGGCGCTTAGATTCAGCTTCAGCAGCGCTTACTTCTGGCTGGTCTCGACGGCGGCGATGAGCCTCTGCTTCGGCGTCGCGCACTTGCGGGTCCTCTCGACGGCGGCGCTTAGATTCAGCTTTAGCAGCGTTCACTTCTGGTTGCTCTCGGCGGCGGCGATGTGCCTCTGCTTCGGCGTCGCGCACTTCCGGGTCCTCTCGACGGCGGCGATTAGATTCAGCCTCAGCAGCGCTTACTTCTGGCTGCTCTCGGCGACGGCGATGAGCCTCTGCTTCGGCGTCGCGCACTTCCGGGTCCTCTCTATAGCGGCCTCTGGCTTCCGCTTCGGCAGCGCTCACTCCTGGCTGCTCTCGGCGGCGGCGATGAGCCTCTGCCTCGGCGTCGCGCACTTCCGGGTCTTGTCGACGGCGCCGTTTAGCTTCAGCTTCGGCGGCACGCACTGCAGGATCTTGGCGCCGGCGGCGCTGAGCCTCTGCTCGGGCAGTGCGTTTAGCAGCAGCTGCTTCATCTGACTCGCTCATTTTGTGAAAAAAGAACTGCCTGATTACGTCTCGTCTTCGTCGTCTTTGTGATATCACTCATGCTGGATCACCGCGCCGGCAGTGCTGACCCTCTGCTCGTGCAGCACGTTTAGCAGCAGCTGCTAAAGCCCCTTTATCCTGAGAAAAGTGGCTGCATTGATTGTTGTGGAAATGCTCGAGACACGTGCCGTGCGCCAATTCTGGGAAGAACATGGCCACTGTAACATGGCATCTGAAATCTAGTTTGAATTAAAGTTTGAACGTGCGCTGTGCCGCCATGATGTTTCCAAAGTCTGCACGTTGCACGTGCCTTGTGCATCGACGCACCGTGCGCTACTTTTAAGACATGAACGCGCTTTAGCAGCTTTTAGCTTCTCTTTGTTCTATTGTTTTCCTGCTGCAGGGTTTTTCATCCCTGCAGCAGGAAAGCGGAAGCCGGCCGGGTGACAAGAAAGAAGAGTCCTTTAAAATAATTTTTCGGAAAAATGAAAATTCGGATTTGTCCGTCCTGCTTATCCTCCCGGCTCCCCTGCGGTTTCCTCTTCCCCTCGCGGGGGCCACGTGATCTCGGGGGGGGGGGAGGGAGGGGGTAGTCACGTGACCCTCCCGACGCCACGTGACCCCCCGCTGAAGTCATGTGACCCCCCCCCCCCGAGGTCACGTGACCCCGGGGGTGACTCCCCTCCCCCCGCCGAGGTCACGTGACGCCCCACCCGAGGCCATGTGACCCCATCCCCCCGAGGTCACGTGACCCCCCGGACCTCTGCCCTCCTCCTCCTCCCCTCCTCCTTCCCCTCCTCCTCGCCCCCAAGGTCATGTGACCCCCTTCCCCCGAGGTCACGTGACCCCCCCGGACCATACTAGACAATGATAGGAGGAGAAGGGGGGAGGAGGAGGAAGAGCGGAGGAGGAGGGGGAGGAGGAGTAGGGGGAGGAGGAGCGGAACAGGAGGGGGAGGAGGACAATAAGGGGAGGAGGAGGAGAAGGGGGAGGAGGAGGGGGAGGAAGAGGGGGAGGAGGAGGGGGACTAGGAGGAGGGGGAGGGGCGCGGTTACGCCGACGGCGACGCCGACGCCGCTCAGGCTGGAAACGGGCTCCTAAGAGCTGCGCTCTAAAAAGTTGCAACATTTGAGAAAACACGCCACGAGCTGGCTTTTAAGCTTAATACATTAGAACAACCTCTAGATAAAATAATATGTGGATGCCCTATAGGTTAAGGATTGTGAACGCTCACGCAAATACAGGAGGCTCGGGTATGTTCACCAAGTGAAGGGAAGACATTATGCTTCGATGTTCATTGATCCCGGCTTTGACAGTGTTAAAATTATGAATAATACGTGTTGGCAGACCCCACATCTTGCCTTTTTGCATGGCCGACTCCAAGTGATCTCAGTAACAGTTGTCTTGGACCAGGCTGGCCAGTTTCGCTTATCATAAGTAGATTTGGGCTTCTTTTTTCACTTAGTCGCTGGTAGATTTTTCCAGTCGCTTATCGCGTTTTGGGGGCTTATTCGCGTTTTTCCCGCAAATATTGTTATTTTAGTGCTCGTCGTGCTCACTGACAGCGCGTTTGTCGTCAAAAACGCGAAAAACAGGATGACCGTTTGGCGCAGCCGTTAGGTGGCGCAAGCTACCGTCCGTCACTGCGGAGTGAATATAGATTTCACATTTAATTATTCTAAGCTTAAATGGTAAAACAAAATGGCTAGGTGGCGTAAGCTACCGCCCGATCTAAAGGGCTCAGCCGTATTCATCCATCCAACCATCCATCCACAAATTACAAAACTATTAGTATTCATTCACTAATGCTTGGCACCTTGCCCATCTTGCCAGTCGGCAGTTGCGGTCACCGTGTCTAGTTGCCATTGTGTTTTGCGCAAAATGGATTCGAAGTGGTCGAAGTACAGCAAAAGATATTGTAAAGGGTGGGAAAAGGAAACACAGCTTAAGGACTGGCTACGACCAGTCACCGAAGACGATAAAAAAAGCAGCGCGCAAGTGCGAGATCCGCGCTCATCATGCCGACCTCGTTCAACACATGGCAACTGAAAAACACGTGAGGAACTCTCGGCCACTTTCCTGTGCACGTTTGACTACCATGGGCTTTACCAAGTCGTTGCCTTCCTGAACGATACCAGAACTGGAGCTCAAGCTGGCATGTTACTCAGAGTGCCGTGCCACTATCCGTTCTGTGGATCGTGGCATGGCACGCTGAGTATTCGCCTTCTTATTTAGGCGAGTTCTCGTTTTCATTTTATTATTAATAAACTATTTTCAAGAATGTGTCCATTTATGGAACTTCCGCTTGTTTTGGGCTTCTCCACGAAGGTCACGCGGCTTATTTTGAAGTTGGTTGGAAACGGCTATCTGCTTGTTCGCTCGGCCGCATTTGGCCACCCTGTCTTGGACCTAAGTATGGAATCCTTAATGTTGCGCGAGCGTCTGTATACCACTCGGGAGACGGTAGTATTAACCTTTGCAAGGCGTTAACTCTGTTTAACACATGAACATGTTGTCTTAATATGCCAGTGACATTCGGAGACTCTGATGAACGTGTGCACGAGGTTCGCCTGTCGGCTTAACAGGAGTTTGCGATGAAGGGCGCGCGCCTTACTAATTGCGTCATCTATGATTTTTTCTGGGTCGCTTAATTGATTAGTGTTGGAGTCAAAATCATCCTTATTAGGGAATACACATTTAATCCTATGAGCCTGGCTGTACGGAATACTGGTTTCGCAAGGAGGAGGGTGACAGCTGTTTAGGTGCAAGTATTTCTGGGTGTCCGTGGACTTTCGATGAAGTTCTGCGACCAGAGTTGTGCCCTTAAATATTACCCAAACGTTAAAGAAATTAATGACAGTTTTCGATCCACTGTGAGTGGAGCGAATGAACTGGTGTGCGGAGTTAAAATCTGCGATACACTTAGAAGCTCATTTTCTGTGTGTGACCAGACAAAAAATGCGTTATCAATATAACTTTTGTATAACATCTGTTGGAGCGGGTATGATTCGAGTAAGGTTAATTCTAGGTCACCCATCAATATATTTGCCAAGTTCGGGGCCATTTTCGTTCCTTTTGCGGTACCTCTAGTTTGAAGGAAACTATTTGCCATCGAATTCAAAACTATATAGCTCAAGGACAAAACTTGAAAGGGTAGCCAGAACCTGACCCTCCGGGCTGCCATTCCTCCTGTGGGCTTCATATGCCCTCACAAGCTCCTCTATGCCGTCTTTTTGAAGACTATTGGTGTAAAGAGCAGATACATTCATTGTAACAAGAAAAGCTCCCTTGGGTATTTTATTTTTTCAAATTTCTTTGAGAAAGGTAGTTTTGTCACGAATGTACGATGGGAAGGTAGCCGGGGTCTGTCTAATGACGATATCAACCAAACTAGATTTTGGATTCGTGAACGTTCCTGAGGCCGATATAATAGAACGGCCGGGAGTCCCTTCGTTGTGGATTTTAGGTAGCATATAGAAGCGCCCAGGTACGGCGTGCTTAGCAGTTAGCAACTTTAAAGACTTGTCGGTAATTTGACCTTGTTTCTCTAGCGAGCTAAGTCGCTCGTGTATAAACACGGCATGCTGACTAGTTAGGCAGTTGTTTAGATTGCGGTACAATATGGTATCGTTTAGTTGTCTATAGCCTTCCTTATGCAATCTAATATGTTAAGAATAACTAAGCACCCCACCCCTCCTTGTCAGCTGGTTTGATTATTATATATTTTTCTGTTACCTAGATCCTTGAGCTCCTTGCGTTCAGGATGCAAGAGGTTATAGTGATGAGGTTGCTGCTTTCTATAAGGTGACATAATCTCCTTTTAGACCGCCAGGATATAAAGGTCGAGATGCTTATCTCTGTTGGGACTGGGATTCCAACCGGACTATGTCGAAGGCACAGGATATGCGCTTTTTCGTGGGGCTTTTCAAAAATTAATTCCTGAAGCCGAAGTCTTCAAGCGAAATTTTCAAGAACCTAAAGCAGCGTGAAATCATCGTACAGGCCTGTGGTCGGGAATAACTTAAAACCAGTTTAAAGGAGCGACTCTTCCTCACGGGTTAGTTCTAGACTGGATAAATTAGCTATGCTGCAACCACCAAGACAGTTATTCTGTATGTCCCCTCCATTCACCGTCATCGAAGAATAGTTAACATTAAGCCTAGCTAGTTTACTTCGGATTACAGACAGGAAGGTTATAAAAAACTGAACGATACCAAATTCTACTGTCACCTAAAGAGCAATCCAACTAGTCAGCATGCCGGGTTTCTACACGAGCGACCTAGCCACCTAAGAAACAAGGAGAAAGAACCTACGACGCTCTAAGGGGGCTAACTGCTAAACATGCCGTACCTGGGCACTTCTATATTGCCGCGCACGCCGCTGGCCAAGTAGGCTGCGCACCCGTGGCCAAGGTGAGGTAAATTTTTCCGCTAAGTTTAGCGGGTAAACTTTTTGTTTACACTCACGTTGTCAAGAAACAGGGAACGGGACACTGACAGATGACATTGTAGAAACAAATTAGTCATCTGTATGCAGCCATACGCAACAATGCCAATCGCTACAAGTGCAGTGGTCACGTGACGTGCAATGTTTCCGCAGAATTTAGCAGAGACACTGAATAGGTGCGTAGGTGATGTTACTTCAAATTTTTCGCTAAATTTAGCGGAAAACTGAGGTGATGCATATGTCACTTGACGTCAATTTTCCCGCTAAATTTAGCAGGGACACTGAATTGGTGAGAAGGTTACGTGACGTCAATTTTTTCGCTAAATTTAGCAGGGACAGTGAATTGGTGAGTCGGTCACGTGACGTCAATTTTCCCACTAAATTTAGCAGGGACACTGAATTGGTGAGTAGGTCACGTGACGTCAATTTTTTCGCTAAATTTAGCAGGGACACTGAATTGGTGAGTAGGTCACGTGACGTCAATTTTTTCGCTAAATTTAGCACGGACACTGAATTGGTGAGTAGGTCACGTGACGTCAATATTTTCGCTAAAT